CGGGCATAAGCTAGAATTCATGGCCTGACGTGGTCTAATCTATTTTTTGTTCCTTGAGCACAGAGTAAACTTTTTTCAGTTGGATACATCTATTTCTGGCTTCTAATTTAGCTTGAAACCTGGGAGCCTTCATAATCTTGTTTGAGCAATGTCATAGACTCAGTGGTTATACACACTTTCAGTCTCATACAGGCCAGCTGTAAAATATGCTCCCTGTAATTTTCTTCTTTAAAGGCTTCTTTAAATATACCACACATCGCCCAGACCTTATGGTTGTGGCATGAATCTTATTTCTGGAATTCCACTTTTAAAATCCCATGCGACACCCCATACCATCAAAGACAACTAATGCTCCATCCCCTTGGGAGTGTCGCTCTGCATCCCTGCACATCAGGGGCACCACGGTCCTTGGTGTTTGGTTGCTCCACCCAGGCTGTCCCACAGTGAGATGCAAGGCAAGAAACTGCCACAAAAACACCTTGAAAGCGTCACCTGCAATCGTGCCCATTGCACCTTGAGAATGTGCTGCTGCCCTTTTAGGGTGACACGAAGCTCCTTGCCCATCCGTCCTCTACCGACTGTGCATGTGAAAGCACCTGAGAGAGCCCTTCCCCCTTCTCCTTTGTCTCTGCTCTTGGCAAAACCAAGAAGACATTCTGTAATAAGTGTGTGTGTGTGTGGGGGGTGTTGGTGTAGTGGTTTGGCGTAGTGGTTAAGTGCGCAGACTCTAATCTGGGAGAACCGGCTTTGATTCCCCACTCCTCCACTTGCACCTGGCTGGGTGACCTTGGGCAAGCTGTAGTTCTGATAAGAGCTGTCCTTGAAAAAAAGCAGTTTCTGTCAAGAGCTCTCTCAGCCCCACCTACCTCACAGGGTGTCTGTTGTGGGGAGGGGAAGGGAAAGGAGTTTGTCAGCCTCTCTTGAGACTCCTTCAGGTAGTGAAGGGCGGGGTATAAATCCAATGCCGTCTTCTTCTCTTCAGTTTGGTGTAGTGGTTAAGTGCGCGGACTCTAATCTGGGAGAACTGGGTTTGATTCCCCACTCCTCCACTTGCACCTGGCTGGGTGACCTTGGGCAAGCCATAGTTCTGATAAGAGCTGTCCTTGAAAAAGAGCTGTTTCTGTCAAGAGCTCTCCCAGCCCCGCCTACCTCAC